CTACCGTCTCTCTAGAGTGAGGGTCGCGGACGAGGTGAGCGAGGAGGCGGCGGCTGGAGCGAGGGGGCCAGCAGCCACCATGTCGGATACGCGGCGACGAGTGAAGGTCTATACCCTGAACGAAGACCGGCAATGGGACGACCGAGGCACCGGGCACGTCTCCTCCACTTACGTGGAGGAGCTCAAGGGAATGTCGCTGCTGGTTCGGGCAGAGTCCGACGGTAAGGTTATTGGGACGGTAGAATGGGGGACAGTGCCACGGCCCGGGGTTTGGGCCCTGGGCCGGGTTACTGTTAGTACCACCTCTTGGGACAGCTCATTGGTTTTGAGCTTGCTCTTCTATACGGTAAAAACAAACTACTGTACTTTGTCCGGATTTGCCTTCAGTCAGACACCGAGCCTCTGTCCCCCCGCCTCCCGTCCCCGTTGAAGGATTTGACCCCTTCCTCTCCAAACTCTTGTTTTGGAGCCAGAGTGAGAGAAAAGGAAGTAGCGAGAGAGACCAGACGGTGGTCTGCTTGCTCTGGGGAAGCCGACACCCTCTTTCTCTCTTACTTAGGTTATTTTCGTATCCAGTACACGTCCAGTGCAAAAGGTTTAGCGAAACTTTTCTTTCTGAGTGTTCTTTTTTTACCGGATTTTACCCACGGGCCCCTGTTACCACAGTCGACAGGTGCTGGGAAAAACCCAAAGGCACCTTTTGCTGCGTTATTGCCGACTGTTGCCACGATACATGCACGCACAGGCACATATGTCTTTCGTCTGGGATCCCTCCAGGCTGCCTTTGTAGAAAGTGCTGTGAAAGAGTGAATACCTTACAGTCTGAGCAAGTTAGGACACCAAAGCACATTGTAAACTCGTATTCGTTGATTTACTGTCGTCACGTGAGGTATTTTAAAGTTATAAAATGTGGAACTGTAATTAAAACACCTTTGTAATCTGGACGCCTCGATTTCGATTTCAGCAACTGATTTATGCCAGTAGTCACAGACATTTATTTCTACATAAGATGTTCTTTCGTTCTTAATGAGAAGAGAGGATAAATGCAGCACTGTAATTTGTGTACTAAGTATTTGGTTCCTTGGGAGTTTTTTTGTTTGTTTTTTAGGTTGTTTTTTTTTTTTTTTAAGTAATAGGTTCTGTTTGTTTAACCGGAATGCAATAAAACAACTTATGTTTTAAAAAGTGATTTTTAAGTCGTCACTTAGACCTTAACATTTTCACTAAAACTTTAATGATCATCTTGTCTCCTTGATCTGGATGTTGGTTTTAGATGAATTTTTTTCTTTTTTTTTAGATTTATTTTATTTTAAAGTTGCAGGGTACAATTCAGGATTAGGCATACACGTGGACATTGTACAGGTAAAGTTTGGGCCTCCCTTTGATCCCTACTTTGCCAGGTTTGAGATCAGGTACCCTTATTGACGTTGTGTGCCGCCGCTCCCCCCCCCAGTATCCCACTACTGCCACCACACCACACCACACCCCCCCCAGTATCCCACTACTGCCAATCCCGTCTTATAGTATTATGGTAAATGATCAGGGTCCGCTTGTGATTAAGAACATTTGGTACTGTGAATTTTTTTCTTTAGGGCATATAGGGATAGGATGAAATACGCTAAGTTAAATATAAAACCTACATCTGGAGTGAGAATTGAGATGGAATACATTTTATTACCTAACATGTCCAGCTGGGTGAAGAGACATGCACAGTTTGTTTATTTTTTTTTCAACGTTTTATTATTTGAGACTTATGATATATTATTTTTTTATCTTTCAGGATCACTACTCTTGGAATCAAAGATAAATCCAAACACTGCATATCAGAAACAACAGGCAAGTAGTTGTTTATCTTTAATTTGAAAGACTTCATCTGTGATCAAAGAAGTAATAATCAGACAAAGATGGGAAAGGTTTCCTGACAAGAAAAAACATGTTTGGTAAACAGAGTTACAGACCATATTTATTTATGTTACAGGTTAAAAGTTTCAGACTGAAAAGTGAGTTTTTTACTGACAATAATTTATTATCGTTTTTGGGTTGAGCCACTGTTAGTTTATATTCAAATACAGTGTATTCATTAGTCTTATTTAGCTATTGCTAGCCAGGTCTCTTCTATACCATGTACACTAAACTTATTCTGAGTTATGTTTAAAGGAAATAGCATTAAAAAATTCAAAGGGATACTCTTAAAGCAAGGAAAGCCTGTTTGTGGTATGAAATTAATTCCTTTGACTCAAGTAAAGGTAGAAGTTTTGAAATACAAACATTAAATCCTGTTCTAAATTGTATGTTTTGAATATAGTAATCAATGGATACTTTATAAAAGTGTACATTTCCGATTATGTAATGTTTTCTGTTAATATTTATTGTCTCATTTGGGAAAGAAAACCTGTGTTGTGTTTTAGCATGCCTAATTAATCTGAAAATGGTAGTGGTGATTCACACTTTTTAAAATTCTGTGAATGTTTTTATTTTATTATGAAATATATCAAAATTGAAAAGTACAGAAAATAATATAGCAGGTTCTTGTAACACCACCTGATTTAACAGTGTCAACGTTATACCATATTTGTTTCAAAGCTTTTTGTAATGTTGAACTTTATGAATAGAGTTAAAACCCCTTTGTATCCATCCCATTCTTTCCATTTGCCCATCCTCTCCATAGGTAACCACTATTCTGAAGTTGATATGTATTCTTTCTGTACATGCTTTTATACCTTTTCTGCATATGTATGTATCCATAAATAATATGTAGTCTGTTGTGTGTTTCTAAACTTTACACAGTTGATATCGTACTCTTGCATGTAACCTGCAGCTTGCATTTTTCACACGTTTATTTTGAAGATCTGTTAACAATGTAGATGTAGTTTTCTTTTTAAATACTGTATAGTATTCTAATGTATAATATACAACTATTGTTAGACATTTGGAATATTCACAGATTTTTTGTATATGTGGTATGTAATGTCAATATGACAGATTTTTTAAAGGAAAAGAGAAGTTATTTTAGGGTTATATTTATAGCATCAGTGCCTACTTTCTTCAAGGTCTGTGAAAATTTGCATATTCAGAAACAAAATACATAGTTGGAGAAATAAAATTACACTGCGCAGCTTACTAAGGAATAAAATTGTCTATTGAGCAGCTTAATGATACTAAAGTCCTGCTGTTAAATGATTGTTTTTTGTATGTAGTACATTCTTAATCAGTTCTTTGAAATACTTTAAAATGTGTGATATTCAATTAGTAGTTTTTTCCTCTGTTTAGAAAATGTTATGTACTTTTTTTGGTGGAGAATCAAATTAAACGTTCGTCCTGAAATGAACACCTGAAGATGTTTCCTATGCCTTAGACATTTTAAAGTAGACTAAAGTAAATTTAATTTCTGAGTCAGCCAGGCAGATAGTTATTCTGTATCTTTGCACTGAATTTTACCAGCTAGTCACTTTTGGTTTTTGTTGCTTGTTTGTGTATGGGGAAAGGAATACTAATATTTTCTTATCATTTTTATACCTACCTCCATGAATATAAAATTATCAGTAATTTTTATTTTATGTATTTATTTATTTTGAGCCAGGGACTTGCTCTGTCTCCAAGGCTGAATTGCAGTGATATGATCACAGCTCACTGCAGCCTTGACCTCCTAGCTCAAGTGATCTTTCTGCCTCAGCCTGCTGAGTAGATAGGACTAGAGGCATGCACTGTGATGCTTGGCTAATTTTTTTTATTTTTATTTTTGTAGAATCAAGGTCTCACTATATTTCCCCGGCTGCTTTTGAACTTCTGACCTCAAACAGCCCTCCTGCTTCAGCCTCCCAGAGTTCTGGGATTATAGGCATAAGGCACTATGCCCATCCTAGGAACTTTGATTGATGGATTTTATTTATTTTTTATTTTTTGAGTCAGCGTCTCACTCTATCGCCCAGGCTGGAGTGTAGTGGCACATTCATGGCCACTGCAGCCTCAACCTGCTGAGCTCAGGCAATCCTACCGCCTCAACCTTCCAAGTAGATAGAACTACAGACACATGCCACCACGCTTGGCTAATTTTTCTTGATTTATTGTTGAGATGAGGTCTCGTCAAGTTACTCAGGCTAGTCTTGAGCCCATGGGCTCAAGCAGTCCTCTCACCTCGGCCTCCTAAAGAGCTGGGATTATAGGCATAAGACACCGTGCCTGGCCAGAACTTTTTCCTTAAATGTAACTAAGTCATAAGCAGTTCCCTCCATATTTAGTTATAGTACGGATTTTTCTCAGATTGTATATAAGATCCTTTAGTTGTTACTTTGGAAAGATCACATTATGGAGATTTGTATATAAAATAGTTCCCCAGCATAAGTTAAAAATACACGATGGTTCTGTGACTACTTTAGAAACTTCAGTGTGTAGCTTCATGTGCAATGTTACTGTACTAGAAAATTTCATTCTAGATAATTACTGTTTTTGCACCCACTAAATATCTATAAGTATTAAAGAAAACACTTTATTAAAAAAATTTATGCCATTTGGAAATGTTTTCTGTAACTAATCATATTTAGTATACTATTGGGACTTTTTTTCATAGTGGTTTTTTTTTTTTTTAGAGTCAAGAGTCTCACTGTCATCCAGGCTGGAGTGCAGTGGCCACCACAGCCTCGACCTGCTGGGCTCAGGTGATCCTTCCACCTCAGCCTTCCAAGTAGCTGGAACTACAGGCACGTGCCACCATGTCTGGCTAATTTTTTTATTTACTGTAGAGAAGAGGTCTTGCCAAGTTGCCCAGTCTGGTCTTGAGCCCTGGGTTCAGACAGTTCTCTCGCTTTGGCCTCCCAAAGTACTGGGATTACAGGCTTGAGCCATCGCACCTGGCTTGTTTTTAAAAATTGGGGGATGTTTTACTAAATAACACTCAGGTATATAAAAGAACTCTGGTAGTAAGAATGTGAAGGCACTTTGTTTATAAGAATGAAGAATGTGTGAATAGAGTCACCTGTTTTATTTATTTTTGTTTCAATTGAGTACACTTTTATTTTTTGGGGGTCAGGGTCTCACTCTTTCACCCAGACTGGAGTGCAGTTGCACATTTATGACCACTGGAGCCTTGACCTGCTGGGCTTAAGCAATCATTCTGCCTCAGCCTTTCAAGTAGCTGGAACTACAGGCACATGCCACCGCACCCGACTAGAGTACACTTTTCTAATAGAAATCAGCCATTTAGGGGTTATGTAAACTTAGTTTTATTGTAATAGATACAGTTTTTCATGTTTTCACCAAAATCTTCAGTTTTCACTTTTTACCAAGTTACATAAATTGGGATTTTGAAACACATTAATATTTTTCTGTTAGAATTATTTGTAAAATGTCATTTGTGTTATTCAGTAATTAGAAATTTACTAATTTACAAATTTTGCATGAAGTACATTGTTCATTCGTGGATTTTTAAAAAATATTTTATTTTTATTTTCTTTTTGAGTTGGGTCTCACTCAGTCACCAAGGCTGGAATGCAGTAGCACAATTGAGGCTCACTGCAACCTCAACCTTCTGGGCTCAGGTGACCCTTCCATCCCAACCTCCCAAGTAGCTGGGACTACAGACATGCACCACCACAACTCAGCTAATTTTGGGGGGGGGTTGGTAGAGATGAGGTCTCTCTGTGTTATCCAAGCTGGCCTTGAACTCCTGGGCTCAAGCATTCCTTTCGCCTCAGTCATCCAAGTAACTGGGACTACAGTAGTGGAGTAAAGAACCTTTTTTCTTTCTTTCTTTTTTTTTTTTCTTTCGTGTCTCTGTCACCCATGTTGAAGTACAGTGGCACACAGCTCTTTGCAGCCTTGACCTCTTGGACTCAGGCGATCCTTTTGCCTCAGCCTCCCAAGTTACTGGGACTACAGACACACCACCACACTTGGCTATTTTTAAAAATTTTTTGTACAGTTGAGGTCTCACTATGTTGCCCAGGCTGCTCAAGCAATCCTGCCTCAGGCTCCCAAAGTTCTGGGGTTATAGGTGTGAGCCACCACACTCAGCCCAAGATACCCTTTTTTTAATTAGTGGGTTTTTAATAAAAAATTTGAGTGAATGAGGTGTTTATTGGCCATTTTGTTATATTAAAATACATTGAATAAATTTACTGAGGAATATTTAACACTTTTCTTTTAACATTACAGTTATAAAATGAGCCAAGTACGAAATTGTATGCTTAGAATACATTGTTTTTTTCCCCAAAAGTGAAGTACTGAATTATGGTCTTAAAATAAGTTAGAATGACTCAAGCTGAATGTGAAATGTCTAAATTGAAATGTCATTATTGATTCACATCAGTTTCTTCTTTAACTGCACACAGTACTGAAGTAGTTAATGGAAAGAGATGTAATTACCCAATAAAGTTAAGCATTTAAATGTATTGAAAAGCTGGACATGGTGGCTCACACCAATCCCAGCACTTTAGGAGACTGAGGCAGAAGGATGACTTGAGGGTAGGAATTGGAGACCAGCCTGGGCAATGTAGTGAGATCCTATCTGTACAAAAAATAAAAGAGTAAGTCCTTATCTCTACAGAAAAACAAAACAAAAAACACTTTGGAAAGAGAAGAGAATAACTATATAATACAACATGAAATAAAGTACCTGATAGATATGTGTGTCAACACTGATCCTGACTAAATCAAAAGTGAAATCAGAGCTGGACACAGTGGTGTGCACCTATAGTACCAGCTATTTGTCAGGTTGATGTAGGAAAACCATTTGAAGTTCGGAGTTCAAGGTTATGATTGTACCTATGAATATGAATAACCACTGCACCCTAGCCTGGACAGCATATTGAGACCCTGTCTCTAAAAAAAATAGCAAAATA